ATTTGCTTCTCTCTCTCTCTCTGTCTTTCTCTCTCTCTTTTTGCTATTTGGCTGTGCACTTGGTGGAGAGACAGAGAGAGATGGAGAGACAGACAGGAAGAAATCACTCCTCAGGGAGGATGGCCATATCACAATCCCTTCTCCTCCATTCTCCTCTTATGAATTTGAGCACGCATGCACACCTGTCAGATATGAGTTTCAAACCACCAGGTCTGGGACTCAAACCTCAGCTGACCATGTGGGAGTCCAGCATCTTAATCACTATGTTGTCAGCTAGTCCCGCTTTTCTGTTTTTTTAAAGGAAGTTGTGAAGCCTATCTTGATGATACCTTTTAAAAATTTTTAAAATCTTTTGCCATGAGAGAAAGAGAGACAGTTACTCCCAAAAAGGTGTTCACACCATGATCCACACCCAACCTAGCCTTGGCTAGCCCAGATCATGGGCCCACATATATATATATAACCAGTGTGTACAGAAGCGCCTTGGGGCATGAACTCGTGACCTTCCCATGTGGGTCCAGAAATGTAGAGCATGACATTATCTTTGCTCCACTGTCTGGCTCAATGATATCTTTAAGAGTAGACAGGATAAGTGTGCAGAATTCACACTTTAATACATATGATCTGTGGCAAAAGTATTCAATGCTTTCTCTTAGCCAATACTGACATCTCTCCCTATTCTAAAAATAAGTGCACTTACAAAAATGTACTTAGCACTGATACAATGAACCCAGGGTGACCAACTTCCACCTTTTAGCCAGTGGGTAGAGTTTGTTTGCATCTGAATTGATCAAAAACAATTCTCTTAATTACTACTTTTTGTGTGTAAGTTACAAGTTAAGGAGGATTGGGACCAAGTAGTTGGCTTAATGGCTATGTCATTGGACTCCCATGTAGTCAACCATGGTTCGAGTCCAGGACCCAGTAGCTTAAACTCATGCCAGCATGTGTGCATGTGCATGTGTGCCCAAGATCCTGAGAGGAGAATGCAGGAGAAGGGATTGAGGCATGGCCATCCCCATTGAAGGGTGATTTCTCACTTTCTGTCTCTCTGTCTTTCTGGTGAGCACACGCGCCCTGTAGTAAAAACCTCTTTAAAAAAAGGTAAAAAATAAAACAAAAAATATAGTTAAGGAGGGCTTTGGGACCAGCAGTTAGAGTAATGACTATGTTGCTGAACTCCCATGTAGCTGACCACGGTTCAAGCCCTGGACCCAGAAGCTTAAACTCACGCCAGGCGCATGTGTGTGCATGCCCAAGATCCCGAGGGGAGATGGAGGAGAAGGGATTGCAGTGTGGCCATTTCCCCTGAGGATGATTTCTCGCTTTCTCTCTGTCTTTCTCAGTCTTTCTGGTGAGCACACACACCCTGTAGCAAAAACCTCTCCAAAAAAAAAAAAGAAGGGATTCTAGTTTCAGCTCTAACATGATAAGCACTTGGAAGCCAATGTTTCTATAAAAATAAGAAGTTTAAAAAACAAACTGAAAAGCAAGAACTTTTCTTGGACCCACCATCAAGATCATAAGGTAAAGTCACATTGAGACCTAGAGAGACAGGTGCATCCAGAGAATTAGGGCAATAGAAATCTACTTACTGGGAGCTGGATCTGGAGTCACTGGAACCAGGAAGTGGTAGGATCATGCGCAAAATAGCTTTGACTGATTGCTGGAGGCTGAGCATGTGGGAGTGAGACACTTCTGCGGCTGATGTCAGGGAGGGCCTGCGGCTTTGTGAGTTCTACCCGCAGATCCTACCAGCTGTTCATGGTAAGGGTAGAGAAAGACATCTTCATGGCTCTGACAGTGGGACAGGAAGAGAAACCACTGTGACATAGACACAGAGCCCTCTCTATAATAGAGATCTCTGGAGCACAAGCCTGTACCAGAGCACTATTCTGAAACTTTATCCCAACTGGAAGAAGGGCATTCCTCCCACACGAGGTCCTCCTATGCACCTCCCTATGGCATCTGAAGCATGGTAAGAGTTGGCACACAGTCAATCAGGGTTAGGGATTTTAGAAAGTCATTGGGAGGGGCCAGCAAGTAACAAAGTGGTTGGGGAGCTGGACTCCCACATGGCTGACCACAGTTCGAGTCTTGGATCTGGCAGCTTGAAAATCACACCATGTGCATACTTGTGCATACCTCAAATCCTGACAGAGAATGGAGGAGAAGGGGTTGTGGTGACGTCATCCCCCTCTGAGTGGTGTTTTCTCACTTCCCCTCTCACTGTGTCTCTATCTCCCTCTCTCCTGCACGTGCACATGCCCTATGACAAAACCTTAAAAAGAAAGAGAAAGCCACTTGGAAATGCTGAAACTAGGAGTAGTAGAGGGCAGGAGGGGAAAGAAAAAAAAAAAACTACCACAGTAGAAATACCTGTGAATGTCACAACCCTGAGAAACAGGCTCGCTGAAATAACGAGAATCAGATTCTAAAATGCCCTCACCACTGCCCTACACCTTACACCACACCCACAAAGTGTGTATTGTAACAGTGGGTGACTGAAAGTGCTAGAAGAAATAGACTCTGAGGAGGTGTTGCTGGCAAAGCCGAGTCAAGAGGAGAGGCAAAGATAAGGGCACAAGAGAAATTCAAAATTTAAGGTACTTAGCTACAACAAATATTAAATACAGCCCAACTCCTAGCAGAATAGCATATGCTCTCACACTAGAGACCTATTTACCTCAGTGCCTATTGTGTAATACACATCTGACTTTCAATGAAACGTTGCGAGGCATGCTACAAAGCAACACGAAGGACAGTTTGAAGAGTCAAAAGAAGCATTAGAAAAAGACTCGGATATATGATACTGACATTGGGTTGATCATACAGAGAATTTTAAATCACTATTAAACAAGAGCTAATGTGTTGTCAAATATTTAGTGCCATATTTGAAGCTATGTTTACCTGGTTGGGAAGGAACATACTATGATTATCTTTATAAATAAATGTAAAATAACTAAAGGAAAAACATAAAAAAAAAAAAAACATAGTTCAGAGAACGTGAGGTTAAAAAGAAATCGAGAACCAGTAAAGGAATAGCACCTCGTCTAATGAGTGGACTGAACAAAAAATTATCAAAGTCAGTAAGTGCATCTTCTCTATTATGTGTAATATTCTTCTGCTAACTGTGTAAAGAAAAAAAGGCTTAAAAGTTGACAAAGAAAGGGGCTAAGTGGTGGCACAGTGATAATGTAACTGGACCCATGTGGGAAAGGTCTTGGGTTTATGGCTTTGAGTCCTAGGCCTAAATATGCCTGTGATCTGGGCTGGCTGCACTAGGTTGAAGGGTGCTGTGAAGACCATTAGAGGGAGGGCAGTCTCTCTGTCTCAGAAGAAATAAAGAAATAAATAAACAAACAACAACAACAAAAACCCCACAAAAATCAAGTTGACCAAAACAAACAAACAAACAAACAAACAAACAAACAAAAGAACCCCCAGAAAACCAAAGCTATAGAGATGGTAGAGAAAGTATTTTTTCCTATTCCATGCATTCTCTAGGTATGGGCCTATCTGTGATTTGCTCCTGGGAGTAACTTCTCCCCTATGGGGTCACCTGGCTCTCAATTTGCAGGTAAGAAACAGTGTTCCCCCTAAGCAGGCAGAGGGCTATGAGCAGCCTGAAGTCCTCCCTCTCCTTGCCTGGTCTGTAACCTTTCCTCTTGTATTTCTCTTATTTCTTGCCTATTGGTGATCCCATTCAGCATCAAAAGGTTTATGACCAAGTTCTTTCCATATTCCAAAAAAATATGTTGTTCAAATCCATGCTGCCTGGATCATTTCAGACCTCCGAGGAGGAGAGATGAACCCGGGCGGTGCCTTGTCAACTTGGCCCTGTAGCTTTTATCTGAGACCAAGAACAACATTTCCCAGGAAGGCTAAGGAGAAACTCAGGTGATCTTCAGAGGATAGAAAGAAAGACAAGGTCATTATCAGAGGCTGGAGTGGACAGACCTGGTGACAGACAGATGCAGAGCTGCCCAGCAGGCCTCAGTACACCCTCATTCTATTCTTGCACTATGTCCAGTTTCTCTTCCCCCAGAACCACCAAAGACCACTCCAACTACAAGAGCTAGGCCTGCAGAGACAGTAGTTCTCACAGAGGGAACAGATGGCACAGAGGTCCTCTTCTAGAACAACTCCATGAGTTCCCCTTGCGGGATCCCACTTCAGTGGTCAGGGCTGTGTGGCTTTTCAGATGGTCTCAGGAGCTCTAGTTAGTCCATCCATCCAGCTGGCCAGGATCAAGAGGTAAATAATACATGTTGGTGGTCAGTGGTGTAGTGGTTAATGCAATGTCCTGCAAGGCAACCCCACATTGGGTGGTTGGCTATTTACATCCAGAGACTTCCCTGAGTACACTGAGCATGCCTTTACCCGTGATCTGTGGCCATTTCTAGCTCTTTTTCTATTCATGTAAGCTCACATGTCTATACTCATAATATTTGTTTTGGTTCTGTTTCTCTGATCCTGATAAATACAGTAAACTTGTAAACATATTTATTTATTTTTCATCTTTTGAGAGATTTTTGCTATCAGGTACATGCACTCGCCAGAGAGACAAAGAGGGACATAAAGCAAGAAATCACTCCCCCTCCTCCGGGGGTTGGCCATGCCGCAATCCCTTTTCTTCCATTCTCCTCTGGATTTTGAGCATACATGCACACACGCCTGCGGTGAGTTTCAAGTCACCGGGTCTGGGACTTGAGCCATGGTTGTCCCCATGGGAATCCAGCATCTTAACCTCTATACCACCTGCTGGTCCCCAAATATGTTTTATAGCTTAATTTTCTTGCTATCAAACTGATGAGAATGGCATGATGAGAACAATAAATCATTCTCTAATTTGGATGTAAGAACAAAAGTATGAATGAGGGCTGGCTCTGTGGTGCAGTGGTAATGAGGTATTTGAGGACAGTTGGATCCCACATGGTAACCAGGGTTTGAATCCCCTGGCCCGTTCCTGACCCAATCTGCCAGAAACCTGCCTGTTTTTGTGTTCAGGTGTCCATGATCCAATTGGCTGGAAAACTTGAAGAAGAGAATCATGGCATGACTTGTTCCTGTGAAGGGTGACCCTCTGTCTCTCTCCTTCTCTCTTCCCTGGCTCTCACTCTCATATGCAGACACATGTATTCTATCATGAGTAATGAAAACAAAGTACAAATGAAAACTAGCAGTATTTTTAAATAATGATAAATTACAACCAAATAAAATCTGTTCTAGGAATACAACGTGCTTTAACATTAGAGATTACATTGACATGTTAATATAATTAACTATTAAATATATAGTTGTGGTAACCAGAATTCTATGATGACCACCAGTGAATGTGTATAGGCTCTGCCTCTTGACTGTGGGTGGGAGCTGTTCATTGCTCTAGATAACAGGATATGGCAAAGATAAAAGGGTTTTGCAAATGTAATTAGTGTTTCTAATCAATTGTCTTTGAGTTAATCAAAAAAGAGATTATCCCAGGTGGGCCTGACCTATCAGATAATCCCTTTAAGACAGGTCTTGGATCAGGAGGTGGTGTGGTAGTTAAGGTGCTCAACTCCCACATAGCTTACCACGGTTCAAGTCGTGGACCTGATGACTTGCTTTATCACTTTCCATCTCTCTCTCTCTCTCTTTCTCCCTGGTGACCATAGCAAATTAAAATAATAATAATAAATTAAATAATCCTTTAAAGAAAGAGACAAGGTCTTGAAAAGAGGCTCTCTCCCCCACTCTTACTCTCTTTCTTCCTCTCTCTCTTTTGTTGGCTTTGAAGAAGTAGGCCATCTTGTTGTGAGACACGGCTCCATAAGGGGGTCACATGGCAAGGACCTGAGGGTGCTCTAGGAGCTGAGAGTGGTTCTTCCGTATAGCTTGAAAACAATGGTGACTTCAGCAAAATAGCCATAAGAAAATACAAGATCATCAGGAAAGTCATGGCGTATTTTTCTATGCGAAAATCGGTTATGACTTTCCCAATGACCCATACATTTTTCCAACAATCTGATCTAGCTTGGAAGTGAATTATTTTTCCAGTCAAGTGTCCAGTTTAGAAACACAACCAGGCTACAGGACCAGCAGTTGGCATAATGGCTATGTCACTGAACTCCCATGTAGTCAACCGTGGTTTGAGTCCTGGACCCAGTGGCTTAAACTCACGCTGGGTGCACGTGTGTGTGTGCTCAAGATCCTGAGAGGAAATAGAGGAGAAGCGATTGTGGCATCGCCATCCACTCTGGGGAGTGATTTCTCACTTTCTGTCTCTCTGTCTCTCTCTGTCTTTCTGGTGAGTGCATGCACCCTATAGCAAAAACCTCTCAAAAATAAAAAAAAGAAAAGAAAAAAAAAAAGAAACACAACTGGGCTGATATCTTGATTGCAGTTTTGTGTGAGTCTGAGCAGAGAACCTAGCTAAGCCATGCAGTTTCCTGACCCAGGGAAACCGAGGTAATAAATGTGTAAATGTGTGTTGTGTTAACTCACTAAGTTCCCGCGGTAACTGTTTTCATAGCGATAGAAAGATACTACCGTGATTAAATATATAGATACTTGAATTAGTTAGTTACAACATTCTTTGTAACAAACCAGTCCCCAAACTTAGTGGTTGTGATGGTTCATCTTAGTTGTCTACTTAACTGAATTAAGAGATATCCAGCTAGCTAGCAAAGCATTATTTCTGGGTCTGTCTGTGAGGGTGTTTCTGCAGTAGACTGGCATTTGAATCTGGACTGAAGAAGGAACTGCCTTCACTCAACTGAGGAAGGCACCGTCCAATGGACTGAAGGCTGGATAGAACAAAAAGACAGAGGAAAGGCAAATTTGCTCTTTCTCCTAGAGCAAATTGGGATTCTCTTCTTCTCCTGCCTTTGGACACTTGAGCTCTAGATTCTCTGGTCTTGTCCCAGCACCCTCACCTCAATCCAGTTCTCAGAACTTTGGACTTGCATTGAGTCACACAACCAGTTTTCCAGAGTCACCAGCTCACAGATGGTTTATTTTGGGACTCCTTAGCCTCCAGAATTGTATAAGCCAATTCCACAAATAAATCCCCTCTATTCTATGTATCTATTTATCTAACTACCATCTATCGATCATCAACCAAGCCATCATCTATTATTTATCAACTATCTAGCTATCATCATCTATCTATCTACTATCATCTAGCTATCATCCATCACCTATCATCTATTTCTCTGGAGAACCTGACTAACACGGTGCCTTTAAACCATCATATACTCTTGCTCATTCATTTGTGAGTCAGCAGGCAGCCAGATCATCCTGGTTGGGCTCATTCAACTTGGCTTCAACCTGTTATTTGGGCCATTCTTGTCTCTCATTGTCTGCACCAGAGGACTACTCTAGGCATGTTCCTCCCATGGTGAGAGAAGGGGTAAACATAACCGGTCACACAGCGAGCTGTAGTCTCTGCGCATATCTAGTCAGTTAACAGCCAATTGGCCGAAGGCAGTCACATGTCTGTTTCCAGTAACTGTAAGACAGAGAAATCAATTCATTCTGTAGGAGAAGAAACTGTAAGGTCTCATAGCAAAGCATGTGAGTGCAGGAAAGGGTACAGAAATGGGAGAAATTATCCTTGTCAATACCTGAGCAGTATTTAATAGACTTTAACAGAAATTCAAAATTTTAAATGGGGAAAAAATAAAACAGAAATAGAAGGAGAATGTCCTAATCAGTCAAAGAGGATCTATCTTAAATTGCTATTTAGCATTTGTCCAAAATGTAAATCCCTGGGGAAGGAAGCCTAAATTAGGTTTCATGAACTTTGTGGTTCATAGAAGCCTATATACAGGGGGCTGGAGAATTTTGAGAGTTCAGGCATTGGGAATGTACATTTGCTTTAATCTGGAGGATAGAATACACATCTTTCATCAGATTTTCAAAAGGCCCATGACCTTCCCAACACTAAAGAAAAATTAGGTAATTAAAAACCACTGCACTAAAGGCCTTCTCATTAAAATCAGGAACAATATCTCTAATATTAGCCTGTAAAATAACACATAAGAGAGAAATAAGAGGAGCTATGAGAACAGAGATGATATTACCATTATATGTCAGTAATGTGATTGTTCTGCTTGTAAAAATCTAAGTTTCTTCATTTTAAGATGCAGAATTTTTAAAACCCTGGAATGTATTTTATAATCAATGCATGAATTTAAAGTGGCAATGTTTCTTTGGTTTTCCAATTTTGTTCAGTCTAAAAGTTAATGGTATCTTAAAATCATTAAAATAGAATTTGAAAATGATTAAGAAAGTTTAGAGAGGTGGCTAGTTACAAAATCAAAATACAAAAATCGTTAGCTGTCCTGAATGACAAAAGTAACCAAATAGAAAATTAATGAAACAGAATTATATTCTCAGTAGCATTAAAATATGTAATCACTAGGAAAAACATCATTAATTAGAAAGATGCAAAAATTTATATAAATAAAATTTTAATGATACAAAAGACATAAAGATGTTTAAAATGACAAAATATATCAAGTTTTGAGTAATACACTTTTGCATATTATCAACTCATCAATTTTCCCATATTCATTTATTGAATTAATAAAGACCCAATAAAAATCCTATCAAACTTTTTTTAAATTATTCATTTATTGATATGAGTGATACGTGGAAACTTGAAGTATTAATCTAGAATGAAAAAAATATAGCCAGGAACATTTTAGAAAGAAAGAGTAATGAGGAAGAAATTGTCTTAACAGAAATTAAAACAAACATTAAAGCTAAAAATTTGGAGCATCATTCTCCTGGTACAATTAAGAAGTAGAAACAAATCAACATACTAGATAATCCAGAAACTGAACCTAAGATATATTCCATCTTATATATAATATATTTTGTTGGATTTAAGATGCATCATTGATAGTATGGTACCTTTATTATTCTATGCACAAATAATAGAAAAAAAAACTCTCAAGATGGAGTTTAATGAACTACGATAATACCAAGGGTTACATTCTTGGTGTAAGAGTCCATGAGAAAGAAATACACCACACAGAAAGAGACCTCAAAGAAATGTGTTGGCACTCAATAGAGGGAGGAAAAACTGCCTCCTCTGAGAATTATAATTAGAGCCAAAATCCACATAGTGTTGTGGTCTGAAATGAAGTCTTAAAGCTCTCTGGCTGTAAGCCTGAAGTGGTCTTGAGTCCATAGTGCCCCCAGGTGATGGCGGAAACTTTCTCTTAAAGATCTAGCTTCAAGGGACCAGTTAAGTTGCTGGACTCCCACAGAGTCGACTGTGATTTGAGTCCCAGACATGGTGGCTTACAACTCACGCCAGGTGCATGTGTGTGTGTGCCCAAGATCCCAGGAAGAGAATGGAGGAAAAGGGATTGCAGTGTGGCCATCCCCCCTGGGGGGTGATTTTTCACTTTCTGTCTCTCTGACTCTTTCTGTCTCTCTGGCAAGTGCACGTGCCCTTTGGCAAAAATCTCTCTAAAAAAAGAAAAAGAACTACCTTTAAGCAAAGACCATCAACCATAGAGACTGTAAGGTAGTCCACATTCAGAGATGCTCACGTGGGGGAAATTAACCTCTTAGGAGAGTGGACATCATGGGCATAAATACCCAGGGTCAAAGATGAACGATAATTCAATAAATGATGATAGAAACACAGCTTAACAGTTCAGGAAATTCAGTAAATACCAGCTAGGCCAAAGTTAAAAGTGAAAACATGAACTCTTAAAAAACTAGAAGAAAATAGAAATCTGAGAGTGGAATTGCCTTTCTAACCATAGACAAAAAAGGTAATGAAGAAGCATTGATCTAGTGGATTAAAATAAAATGTAAAATTTCTATATATCAAAAGTGACCTTGAATACACAAAGCTGGGAAAAACTAGTTTCAACTTTTATGGCACAAAGAGGGGAATAACCTTATAACATCCTAACACTTCAATATGTGTAAGAATTTTTCTCCTTGGCAAGTTTTATGCTAGTGAAAAGATCAGAAACAATTAAAAAAGGAGAGAGTGAATAAATTATGACTCATCTATACTAGAAAACATGTTTTTGAAGAAAATTTATTGGCACAGTAAAATTATTTTAAAATGTTAAATGAAATAAAACAGGATCTAAATTGTAGCCAATATAAACAGTATTTATATTTTTATTT